CCCTTGCTCTAACTCTCCAACTCCCTTCTATATTGTAGGGAGACTGACCTTGGCCTTTTACAACCATATCTGGGAGCAGGGACAGTCATCGACCCAAAATACTGGACTTTGTGGAATCCAAAATGACGCACATCAGTGACTTGCAGCAAAAGAAGCAGCTGGACTGGTTTATATGGGGACATAAATTAATAAAAGTTAATGATAGGATTAAAGCCAATGGCCAGCCAAGCAGAGTGGAGGAGACAGCTTCCCAGCCGCTTTATTTAATTAGCAGCAATTAATATATTTTCTGCTAATATGCTTTAGGACCCTCAATGACTTGTTCCCTGTGAAAGAGAATGGAGATGGAGCGCAGGAACACTTATAGGCACCCAGGGCATTTTACTTTAATGACAAGAGAGATTGCAAATTCATTTAAGAAAATGGTCATAAACAAGTGATGGGCATGCTCTGGGGCTGCCTTGGTGAAAACAATGGTGAAGCTGACAAGAGTTCTTTGCTTGGGGGAGGAGCACTTTTTTAAAGCAAGGAAGTGTTTTAGGAGAGAGAGAGAGAAAAAAAGACAGTTTTTTTTTTAAGAAAAACATTATTTCAGACTTCAGGCAACAGCAGATGCAGCAGCCCTTGCAAACACATCAGCCCTACACATATTGAAGATTTGGACACGTAATGCTTCAGACCACTGATTTGCTATTTTCTTAATTCCCGTTCTTCTTTTTCCATATGAATCAAACAGTCTTTTGTCCTTCAGGGTTTGATTTGATCGCTACTGTTCACATTTCACTTTTGTGTTTTCCTCTTCCTATACCATTACTCATTGAGTGCCCTGTGAAATTACAATCGTACATTTTCAACTCAGCAACCCATTTGCAGTGCAAAAATAGGGTCTAAATAATGGCTGAATTAGCCCTACTGGACAGTTTCAGATGTAACACTCTGTAATAATTATATTGCAGGCTGGATTAGGATGCTATTATCATAATCTGGACGTTTACAATTATCTGTAATTTGCAAAGATGCGCCAGGTCTTGATTACAGCAGTTTTTTTTTTGTATCACGCTAACCATCACTAAACAGTGACAGTAATAACAGCTAATTTTGCTGGCAATATAAGAGGTGCTGGGGTGTGCAAACAATTTCACACCTGGATGTGCTCACTCAACCAAGAATATAGAGAAAGAGCTTCTGCCCTGAGACTCAGAAAAATATTCTCCACTGCTTCTGTTCAGTATAGATTTCTAGACTCTGATCATTGCTTAAGAGATATGCACTGGGGGTAAGTTTTTATTTCTTGCATACTTTAAGGCACAGTTCATATTTCTCTTCTCACACTTTCCAAGCTATATGTTTTGCTGTTGTAATTCATTGTGGACTGCAACTTTGCTTTACAGATTTTTCAATTCTGACCTTTTATCCACCTCTAACAGTAAAAGGGTTGTCGTTCTGGTGAGTAAAAGGATTCGGTGAGAACGAGATCCTTAGGAACTCGATTTGTCTTTTTTTTTTTCTTTCTGTGTTGTTGGTAGATCTGGTGCAGCTTGTGACTGGAGACTGAAAAAAGGACCAGGTTTCTGTGAGGTGTGGAGGGAGAGGGCTGGAGGTTCCCAGCTAAAACCACTTTGAAAAATTGTTACTCAAAGCTAGTCCTAGGAGAATCCATGGGGGTCTTTGCATGTAGCGATTATTTTAAATTTGGGGGCGATGAAGAGCGCAAACGGAGCTGGAGATAGTGCTCCTTTACTATCACAGGTATGCGGACATTTGCAACGGCAGGTGTACTCTGAATCTCTGGACTGTACAGCCTTTCGACATCTTCCTCCACTTGGGGGAAAGTTTCAGGAATACCTGGCCTCCGAAACCCTTCAGGGCTGCTTTGCTGGGCCTTTGCCTCAAGCTGGGGGTGGGGAGTGGGGGGTAGAGGGCGGGATGCCCCTTGTAGAGCTATTGCCTGAGGGGCCCAAATGCTGCGACCTCGAGGTTGGAGGGGCATGATTGGCTGAGAGGCAGAACCGAACTATGGAGCCCAGGAACCAGTCTGATTTAGGAACGCACCGAGGAAGACTCTCGCAGGAAGAGGTGCTATTCTATCTATAGATGACGCTGTTTCCTGACCCTGGAAGCAGCTAGAGATGTTAAGTGCAGGAGCCTGAGAAGTCTTGGGCTCCGGTTCACCCCAGTGTAGAAAGGCCTTTCTCCGGCGGCGGGTACCTTGGACTAAATTGTGTCCAATGATAACGAGATGCTTATTGGCGCCGGGGAGAAATTTTCCCCTTCACTCACACCGCCCGCAGCTATTGTTTTCTTTTTCTTTCTTCCTTTTTTTTTTTTTGCATGGGAAATATGGTTAGAATCAGGCTCTAGGACTCGAACTCTGGGGAAGTGCAAACGTGGGGAGGCGTAGTAGGCATCGCAACTGGGCGATGCCTTTGGCCCACGCCCCTCCTACCAATCCGTCTCTGGGGAATCAGTTTACTATGGGGTCAATACATTCTAAAGAGCGAAAATATTAACCCTTGAGGTTCAGAGAACCCAGAGGAAGCCCAGATCCAAGGACAGTTCTAGGGAGGACCCCTTGGCAGAATTTCTTGTTTAATTGAATTAATATTAAGAGATAGATTGATACAGGCGCGTCCTGACAACACCTCCAATGTGTTAAAATGCATTTGCTGGATTTCAGAATTCCATGCACTCACAGTGGTTTGGCATGTGTCTGGTGGATTTTTTTTTTTGTAAAAAAGGAAAAATTAGTGTTGGTTTCGATATATGGTAGCTTTCTCTCTAACGTAATTTGAATAATTCAGCAAAGCCCCACTACCAGCTGTACTTCTGCAGCCTCTTCCATTCTTTTCAGCATTATAATTTTGGTTAATTTTCAATTTTAGGTCCTACATCTCTGCAATTTGTGTATGAATAACAGAATAATTTCCCTCTTTTGTTTCGCCTTTCCTGTTCCTGAATCTAAATAAAGATGGCTTTTTAGTATTAAAAGTGGAAGAAAATTACAGGTAATTATCTTTGACGGTAAAAACGCTGTAATCAGCGGGCTACATGAAAAATTACTCTAATTATGGCTGCATTTAAGAGAATGGAAAAAAACCTTCTTGTGGATAAAAACCTTAAATTGTCCCCAATGTCTGCTTCAAATTGGATGGCACTGCAGCTGGAGGCTTTGTTCAGAATTGATCCTGGGGAGCTACGAACCCAAAGTTTCACAGTAGGAAGGGGGAAAAAAGAAAAGAAAACATTTTTCCTAATGTAACAATGCGAATGCTAGAAAATGACAAGACTGATCGGTTTTAAACCATTCTGAAGACTGACTGAGCGTGGAAGTTGCTCAACAAAAAAAGGAACGGGTATATTGGTAAGTAGTCTTTGCTTTGTGTCTAATTATAGTGACTGTCCTTTTGCACGACTGTATGTCGCTGTCATTATATGGAGCACTCTGAGTATCTCTATTGACTTCTGATAAATGGCTCAGTGGTTTCAAGGTTCATAATTTGAAGGATGCCCAGGTCTGTAGCCATTAATTCTCGCAGTATGGGGCTTCCTGCTTGTATGACGAAAGGACTTTTCATTTCCATTATTTCAATGCTTTACACAAGATCGGAGGATGTATTTCATCTAGGAGCATGCATTTTCCTACCTAGCTAGCTTGCAGGGTTGTAAACATTAAGTAGTCACAATTGTGCATTTACTTTTTTTTTTCTCTTATTCTTTCCTCTTTTTTTGTTCAAAACTGCTTCCAAACAAAGACAAATACAGCTGTATTACTTTGGCTGAGGGGGAAAAAAGAACACTCAGTTTCAGCATTGGAAACTATTGGATGTCTAGAGGTTGTCAGTGGATAGATCATTCTAATTCTTTTTTTACAAAAGTAGATAAATGTGTAGAAATTACAATAAAAATATAATATATAAAGGAAACTGAAAAAACATCCATGATTAATGTTAAAGTACTTAAGACAAAGGCTAGTGCTGCAAAGTGACATCTTCGCAGGCACTTGATGTTTATATATAGGGCTTCCCATATTAGGAAATGGGAATTCTTTTAAGAATGATACAAAATATACTGGGAGGGAGGGAGGAGGAGGGGGTGATGAGGTAGAGACACACAGAGAGAAATATATAGGACACTCCCAGCGTTTTGTGGCTTTTACTCCATATATGAAAGAAGACAAAAACATACAAAGTATATATACAACTAAAATTCAACAATATATACAGAAATGTGTCTTGATATAAACGTCCCTATTAGCTTAGTGAATGCCACCAATTCACCTAGTAAAGGTATCAAAGCAATAGATCCATGATTTTGGTTGTTTCCTCTGTCTTTCCTGATTCCAGTTCAGGGTTTGGGGATGGGATGGGGAAAGAGTGGTTTTGTTTTGTTTTGAAATCCTCATTCTTGCTCATTACATTTTGATAAAACATGCAGCGTTCCCTTTGTGGCAACGTTCTAATCTTACAGCCGATTTTTCCTTTTTCTTTAGAGAATGGTGGTTATGTGAGGGTTTTTATTTTTCTCTTTCTTTTCTTCTTCTTCTTCTTCTTCTTCTTCTTCTTCTTCTTCTTCTTCTTCTTCTTCTTCTTCTTCTTCTTGTCAGTCTGGCATTGGTAAATAAAAACGCAGGAGTCTGAAATGCTTCTCTTTCATCATGTAATGTCTTAAGCTCATTAAACAAGTAAAAACGCTGCCATGTTTGCGCAGATTCTTCTGGTGTGAGGAAAATGTCTGTAAAAAAAGTTGTTTTGATGGATACTCCCAAAGAGAAGAAGAGGCTCAGAGCTTGGCTCCCAAGGGTAAGGGAAAAATATCCTTACAGTGAGGGGCTTCAGAAACGCTGCCTCTTCCTTCCTCCCTCCCTCCTCCTCGCCCTCTTTCCCTCTCTCTCTCTCTCCCTAAGATGAGTATCAATTACCGAGGCTGCTCAAGGGAAAAGGTAGATGAGGAAAGAAAAGGGAAGAAAGAAAAGTAAGGTGGGAAGGAAGAAAGAAGGGAGGAAAAGAGAGAGGGGGAGAGAGAGACAGACAGACAGAAGGGACAGGGAGAGAGAGAAGGAGAGAGAGAGAGTGCCCAGATGGTCTTGTCACACAAGAGTTCTCCCGAGCCTGCTCCTTCGGCATGGTTTGGCAGCTGCAAGCAGGTCCCGGATCCTCCTTGCCTTGTTCGGACGTTTCCCTAGGGTATCGATTTCCCTCGGACAACTCACATCATCTGTGGTCTTTGCATCGTGTCCTGATGTGGTGAGGAGTACCAATGCGAATAGCCGGGCATGTAGCTGTTTGGGGGCATACTGACGCCCTTGGCCGAGGCAGAAACGTCCCACACTGGAGGCAGCGCCGGCGAGCGCGGCGACAGGGCCGCTGAGCCTGGGAGAGGGTCGCTTTCATGCGGGTTACTGCCCTGCTTCAGCAGTTTCTTAAACTTAGAGCGTTTGTTCTGAAACCATATCTTCACCTGGAATGAAACGCAGCAGTGATCATTAGGCCCGAAAAAACACCCATCTGGTACCTCAAGATGAGGCTTTGGAAGCAATTATTTAAAACAACAACAACAACAACAAAACAACAACAACAACAACAAGAATAAATCTTCGCAAAAACAAACGCCAAGCCCTCAAGTCCCTGTCTTCCTCCACCTCTTACTCGCCGCCTCCTCCTCCCCATCCCCATTTACTAGGTATCTTGTCTGGTTTCCTAAAGTCATTGTAACCCTTCAGTTGGATGCAAACCTAGGTTTAAAACAACAGCATAAATAAGAATAAAGGTGAATGGGATAGCCGGTTCAAAGTCTAAAGAAGGATTTTTAAACTGAGAACTTTTCGGATCAAAGTCAACTGAACAGCATTCTCTCTGATAGTCTGTTTTTTAAAAATATTTACCAACCCCCAAACCTGGCATCTCTGTGAATGCATTGTGAGCAAATGACTATGGACAGATTAAAGCCTGTATACTTATATCCAAATGCCTTGAATATCCCTATGCATATATTGCATATGTCACAGACTGTGCATGGGGCATCTTTCTCCCCACATCAATATAGCCCTCTAATCCTGCAGACATTGGAGATTGTACCTCCCTCATTCCCTACTTTGTATGTTGCTTAGTCAAATTGTGGTCAACAACCCATCACATGATTGTTAGTGCAGTCACTAAAGACAAAGGGCTCCTGAAAATTAAATGGAAATCAGGAATCTGGGATGGGAATACCTAACCCAACATACCAGGTCTACTTAAGTTGAAGAAGAAAATTCTATGGTGCAGCTTCCTTTACCTTTCAAATTCCTTAGCCATAGGAATCTGCTTTCCCAAGAGGAATACAAGTTACTGAGTAGCAGGAATCCCTTCATATCAAGCCTCAAATATTTCCAGGGGCAACATGGCAGGAGGAAGCAGGCTGAATTGCAAAGAAGAGCTTAGGAGCATCTGTCCTAAGGCACCACACAATCATTCCCCAGCAAGAGTCTCAGAAAACCTGAAGATCACCCACCTCACATGAGGCCCAACACCCCATGCAGCAAAGTTAATAGACAAGGACCAAAACCACGGGTGATTGCAGCCTGGCTTTATGACCAGGGTCCTAATATACCTGCCTAAGCCCCTTCCTGTGAAGTCTGAAAGGCCCCATATGTCTTTCAAATTAGTAGGACAGCAGAACTTCGGCAACTGTACTTAACTGAAGCTTCACCTGCTGTAATTTGGGGAGCATTTCTCTTTGATCTCCAACTTTGCCATTGCTCCCAAGTCCTGTGCTCCAGGGAGGTACCTCAGCCTGCACCAGCCAGTCACCCAGAATGATTTAACCACTGAGCTTAAGGCAATCTTCAGAAAACCCCACCTCACCCATCCTAGGATGAATAGTTGGCACCTTGGTCCCTTTACTAAATCCTTTTGGAACCTATGCCTACCTCCCCGCCCCACCCCATTTTGCTTCATGATTCTTTCTTTCTATATCAGTGAATTGCAATCCTTATTAAGTCCCAGGGCCCACAAAAGGACCCTTAAAAAAATATGGATGGGTCTTATTCTGCCTCCTGGCCTGAATATCTTTTTCTCTTTCTCTTTCATGGTGTTCTGTTCTAAAATAGGACTCGATTAAATGATGAGTTTGGTCACCACAGGACACTAGACTGGGGTAGGGTCGCCGAGGGTTAGGAGCATGTGTAAATCCAATCCAGTATTCAACACCAGGTCATTTATTCCAAACTGTGTTGTCCGGGAAAGTGTGTGACTGGCGCAAAGGCATTTGTCATTAATCTCCTTCCATCCTTGGTTGACTAGGCCAAGAATTCCTCCTGATGTGTGCTCCCTGCCCGATCTGCAAGCGGGGTCAGCATTTCAGGGATATTCGGGCTTCTCGGGAATTACCTGTGTTTGTGTCAGTCCTAAGGAAGCTGCCAGTTCAGCTCTCTCTGGAAGGGCCAGGTACTGAGTCTGCTGAAAGCGATGGTTTAAAGCCTGGAGCTGCAGGCTGGAATAAATGGTCCGAGGCTTCCGAATC